ACGTTTGCCCGGTCTTATAAAGTCAATGTTGCTGCTCATCATGCCGTTAGTTCTACGGTTCTTCAGGAGCGGCCTTAATTTTCATCAGGTGGGTGGCATTCCTCATGACTATGTTGGTATGTGTCTACCATAGTGTTTACACTGCCTCTGGCGGTTAGTAGGAATGAAGCAGAACGCTAGTTACGCATGTAACTGTGGTTCTGTGAATTCCGGATGACCGCCAGAGTTCTTGGTCACTTTGAATGCGCGAGAAAGGCGTACCGAGGCAGAGTGCTGAGCTCCGGTGGCTTATAACCCCCCCAGGGCTCAGCATACGTCACTACGTGACTTTGTTGGTATATTCCCTCAACCTATCTAGCTGGCGCTGCGATAATCCATAGTGTTTACACTGCCTCTGGCAGTCATCCGGAATTCACAGAACCAGTTACATGCGTAACTAGCGTTGTTGTCTGTGCTATTTGTGGTGTGTTTCTGTATTTGGTTGCGTTGTGAGTATTTGCAGCATGTGTTGTCAAACTGATGAAGATGTTTCCTTTGCTGGTGTTTTTTCTATCTGCATGCGTTTTCTTCAGTTGCAGCGCATTTAGCGGTCTCAGCCACCGTAAACATTCTATTTACACATACAAATAATGATAGATGCTATTCACACAAACAGTACATAAAAGGTAATATGCTACTTGTACTAAAGGTAAAATATCTGAGCAATAGTAGGAAAGAGTTAGTGAGACTGAGACTGTGTCATTGTTCTCTACAGGTTGAGTAAGTGTAATATCACAGATGAAGGTTTTGCTGCTCTGACTTCAGCTCTGAGATCAAACCCCACACACCTGCGAGATCTGAGAATAGACTAGGAGATTCAACAAGGAAGCTGTTCTATGATCTACAGGATGATCCACATATTAAACCGGAACAATTATGGTTCTGAGTGTTTTTTTTGTTATTCAGAGCTCATACAATTAAAAAGTAAAGGTCAATAAGTGGCTGCTGCATGTTTCAGAGTGAAACGCAGCACTGTTCATTTACACATGCATAGCTCATGATCCAATGTCCAAGACAAGTAACTTGACAAATTAATATTATATAAAATGTATAATAATAATAATAATAATAATATATAAAATCGAAATATAGTGCAGTACTGGTACTTTGAAATAGCCCATGGATGAATGTACCATGGATTAATTTACAATGTTATTTGAAGTACTTTGGGCTACACTTTATTTTAAGGTGTCCTTGTTACAGTGTAATTATACATTTACTTACTGAGTAATATTAACAAACTACACGTATTTACTATATGGTTAGGGTTAGGATTAGGGTTTGGTTTAGGGTTACTTGCTATAACCCTAATAATATTTGTTTGTTAGTGTTGGTATTTCACATTAAAAGAGCTCCCATATGAAAATTTTTTATAGAATTAAATTATGTTTTAAAGTAGTAATTATTATTAGGAACTATTATTTTGGTTTTAAAGACTTGTGTTTTACCTACAATATTTTTTTTCGATGATGGATTTAAAATCCACTCAAACATCTTAATAGGATTCTGCCCCTTCAGTTTGAATGAGCATGACACTTTTTTTTTTTGTTGCAAATTAGCTTCCCTCATACCACATGTATAATAAAATAGTCAGAAATTAGTTTTTACATACAAAAAAACATTTATTTCCATTATGCGTATGGTACAGGAAAAGTGTTTGGTGTCGTTCATGTTTCCTAAAGATGACTGACCACAGTCATCCCGGACGACGGCAGCTCCTGATCCAGTAGGCGGAAGAGCATGGAGCATTTGTTACGCTGAGCAATGTTGCCGAGAGTGTGATGCAGGCGTGCCTGTAGGTAGTGTATGTCTCTCATACGCTCTTTACAGTCAAGCTGAGAGAAATACACAGCTGCCTCATCCAAAGTGTGCACAGCTTGTTCCAGTGCTGTAGGAAAGGAAAATACATCACTTAAACATATGAATTATGACACGAATACAGTGAGATGGATGACAAACATGACTCAGTACCAGTCAGTCTGTGTTCCTGTGCAGCAGCTCCTGCTAAAGCCATCTGACAGCGAGCGGCCAGCAGCAGAGCTCTGCCCTTGTCTATCAGAGACCCGTGAGCCAAAACTGACTCCAACACGTCCTGCACCAATACAAGAGCCTGCTCAGGGATCCCCAACATCAGCTATGAAGAGAGATGATCAATATCAGACGCTCTTAGCGGACAATTACACTCTTTTTTTCCATCTTCCCAGAAACAACAAACACACAGGTGTACTTAAAAACACTTCAATGAATTTATAGGTGAAATCAATGATCTGGGAGATGTTTTGTGATCATTTGCATTATCAGGAGTCTCGTGTTGGCGTATGTTGGTGTACCTGTGTAAATGCCAGGTGTAACAGCGTCTCTGAGGTCAAGCGCTGCAGGTTGTGTTGGCGTGACAGAGAAAGAGCCTGTAAGAGTAACGGCAGAGCTGTCGCAAAACCAGACGAGTCCCAGTGAAGTTCTGCAGAGGCCAGCATCACCCTGCCACACAAACAAACTGAAGAGTTACATACAAACAAGAGAACAGAAAAGTGCATGTTCAACAAGATTTCAAATATATCAGCAATTTTTTAAATTACAGATTTTTTGTTGTAATTATAAATATGGCCAGCAATAATTGGAGTGAAAAGTCAAACGGAGTTGAATCTTGAAACCCACATATCTAATATGATCCCAGGGTTTTCACAAACACACACCTGATAGTCATCTCTATGTTCTTACTCTTCTCACACTGCTGCTGCAGCTGCTGGAGAATCTTAGATGCTTCAGATGTCTGATTCAGAGCTTTCAGCAGCTGCGCTTTCCTGAACAGACAAGCACATTCGCAATCACATATACAGGTTAATCTACTGAAAGAGTATATCTGCAGTTATCTACCTGTACAATCCCTCAGTGCTGTTTAAGGCAGAGATAGCTGTGACATGGGGTTCAGCCAAGTGGTATTTCCCATCATTCATAGCCTTCTCAAACTGAATTTTCAGATCACACAGCATCCAGAGCTATTAGAGAGAGAGAGAGAGACAGAGAGAGAACATATACTTAATTGGAGCTGCTGCTGATCAGTGCTTGATCATGCCTGTATTTTGTTCGACAGGCTTACTTTGGCATGTTGGGTATGAGGAGGAAACTGCTGCTTCAAGTGTTTCATGATGTCACTCACAACAGCATAAAGGCCCTGTGGATGGAGAAAAGAAACACAACAGACTGTAAAACATTCTAAAATATAGCATTCAACACATTTTTGCACACAATACATTAAATCAAGTTTATGTACCAAGAACCATTTGAGTTTATGTACTTTTATTTGCGTTCATGTAGTTGTGTGGGAGTTCAGGTACCTGCTCAGCATGGAGATCAGCCAGATGGCAGAGAGCGACAGCAAAGGCCTCAGTGTTGTTCTGCTGCACACTAAAATTCACCGGCTCCAGACTGTTCATATTTAACAGGAGCTGAGCCTGCTGCCGTGCCATAGTGCTACGGAGAACACAAATAATTTCAGCGTAAACTACGTCAAACCTGAAAAAATGAACAGTGGCGCTAATATCAGTGCAGAATGGATGACCTTACAGTCTGTTTAAAGACTGAAGGTATCCAGAATCTGTGTTTTCTGACCTTTTGCCATACATCCTCCATATAGAGGTGGTCTGTGCCAGACTGATTTCTATCAGCTCAGAGAGACTTTGCTTCCAGTGCATGATGTCGGTTCCTCGCAGGGCGTCCAGCAGCTTGTTGGCCGGCATGCCCTGTTTTGCTCCCTGCTTGACCAGAGACTGAATGCCTAGAGATGCCAAATACTGCCAAACACAACAGGGAGTGTTAATTATTTACTTCACGGTATAATGACCTTGCAAGAGATTAATATGCACTGGTTTAATGTGCCAGATACCATTTCTTATTGTCTTCTTTTTCACATTCATATATAATTGGTCAAAGTAGTGCAGGAGGCTGTGAGTGGAGATGTAGATATCCTGAACTCGAATGCTGTTCAGATAGCTGAGGTAATGCTGTGGAGAGACAGAGAGAGGCTCAGTTATATTAAAACCAGATTAATCATCGGTTTCTTGAAAGAAGGATTTCAGCTTACAGCTTCAGCAAAGTCAGGATTGAATTTGAGAATGTTGTTCAGCTCGTCCTGTAGTTTAGCCGGCGACATGGCCTTGTTTTCATCGTTCTTAAGGAGGTATGCCTGAGGGAAAAAACATGGTGACAATTATATGGTCTAAAATGTTTATAAAAGTCAAGACTCTTTGAGGTTATAACAAACCAGGGTCAAAATTAATCAGGGTTTAGGGCAAAAATGCCCCCCAAATTCAAGATACTGTGGGGGGGGGGAAAAAGCCCCTGCACAATAAACTAGATTGATTACAACACAGTCAAATTTTTATAAGGTAATCATAAAAACTGCCCTTACGAAGTTATAAAAAAACAAACAAACAAAAAAAATATTACCCTAAATGGAAAAGTGAATTCCTGACTCTGTAACAAACCTGTCGTGCAAGGAAGTATTCTGCTTGTTTTTGAGATAAAGGACCTCGGGTCTCGTCAGATCTGATGAAAACGGAAAAGAAACCCCCAGTCATGTCCATTCAGACAATTCAATTAATACAACCCTGATAATACCACTAATAACACAAGTAACACGCTATCCCCTCTGACCTCAGTTCAGACTGGTGAAGAGATGCTGTGTCCAGCTCGTCTTTTTCTATGTGGTCAGCGCTGGGATCCTCATTGCTCGTCAGCTCCATGTCTTCTGCGGGCAGAGCCGACAGTTTGGGCTGATTGCCACGATGGCAGTACTGCTGCAGGGACTTGTACAGCTTATACACCTGACTGAAGGACAGTTTGTTGTAGGCCAGCAGCATCTGACGCATGAACAGACCTAGAAACAGAGAGAAAGTGATCAATGGTTCAGGGGGCAGATTCACAAAACAGTCTTAAAGGTGCAGTGTGTAGATTTTTAGCAGTATCTAGCGATGATGTTGCGAATTGCAATAAACTGATTAGCCCCTCCCCCACCCCTCCCCTTGAGAAGCTACGGTTGCCGACACACGACACAGGACAAAGATGTCATCATCTGAGACAGCAGAGAGTAGTCAGTCAAGCGTTTCTTACTCTTCTTGCTTCTACGAAAGACCTCTGCTTCTAATAAACCACACAACGTCTACTACTACTTCTTGCATATTCAACGTAGTGACGATGCAAGCTGCCTCTAAAAACACGAGGAACACGAGTAAGAAATGAAGAAGAACAACAGTGACGAAACACGCTCTGTAGAGTAGTTTTTCCGTTAAGGGCTACTGTAGAAACATGGCGGCGCAAAATGACAACTTAACCATGGAGGGGGACCCACGGTGTATGTAGATAGAAATGGCTTATTCTAAGGTAATTAAAACATAACTGTGAATTTTGTAAGGTATTTATACACCACTGAAAACATAGTTTTGTATGTTACATTGCATTTCTATAAACAGATTCTCAAAAATGTTACACATTGCACCTTTAAGAATAAAGTTCTTCTAAACTACTATTTTCATGTTCTAAAATTTATTAAAGATATTTTGTATTATTACTTCTTAAAACTGTTCTTACCTTTTCATCTCACACATTTTACATTATGAGATTTTTTTCTACTTAAAAATGGGTTAGTGGACAAATATATTGTTGAGATTTTTTACATTTGTCGTATTAGACAAGGACATCTCATGAGTCTAGAAAAAAAATCTTTAAAATATATTTGAGAATTTCTTAGGAATAATTGAACACTTACAAACTTCTAATACTATAATCTAACAACTTCCTAAACTTTTTTTTCTTAAGATTTTCATTAATCTGGCCACAGAACTTACATTGGGCAATATCTGATAAGAATTGTGATTATGGCCCTGAAAAAAGCACATATTCGTACCAACAACACTAGTTTTGAATGCCTCCGAGTCACTGAAAGCATTGGGCAGGATAGTAAAAAAGTGCTCCATATCCTGCAACTCTCCATCAGCCATCAAAAGCAACCTGAAAAACATAAGGCAATGGTTTTATAAACAATTCATACATAAAATTGGACCAAAAGCAGAACAGTTCTTACATGTTCTTACAGAACATGTAAGAATACATGTTACAGTTCTTACAGAAGATACATACCTGAGTTTCACAGCATTGACCATGCGAAGACAGCACTCCTCTACTATCTTCAGAAACTGCTCCAGAGTCAAATCTGGACCCTGATCATCACAAACACAAATCACACATGTGCAGTACAACTTTATCTAGAAAAACACACCACATGTGTGTACCCTTGTAACTGTCGTGTGTTAATTAACATTACATTTACAGTAAACACATTTTAAATGTACTAAATTGCAACTTCCATCATTACAAATGTGCAGTAATACATTTAAATACATGACACACGAGTTTCAATAGAAAAATAGTTAACCTAAATGCTTGTAAGTACACGCAGCAACACACTTTAAAAAATATTTGAAGACAATAGAATTATGAATATTACATGTATAAATATTCAAGTCGTCAAAAAGCACTCCTACGTTCAATTTATTGAATTTAATAAAAATGTAAACTATAATACATTTAAACTACGAACATGCAAGTATTATAAAGTATACTTTTTCACATGCTGCATACCTGTTGTAAAGGTAGGATGAGTTTGTTCAGGCGTCTTCTGTCTAGAAGCGCCATTGGTTTGGTTGTGGACATCTCATGGAGCAAAACTAATACTGCGATCTTGTATGGAGTGACCCAATCCTTTATACCGAAGATATTGGCATGGACAACCCCATTGGTCATCATAGGGTTGAAATACAAACTTTCATGCACACTGGCCATGGCTTCTCTGGACTTATATTCCTCAAGGATCAGCAAAATGAAATGTATCGGTGCAGTAAATTCTTTAGTTTAATTAACGATAATAACTATGCTGTTATGGGATAAGCTAAAATAATCTAGCCTACATTGTATTGATAATATGGTAAAACATCAACGGCGTTTCAGATGCAGTAATGGCAATTTGAAACCTTTCTTACATGTGGAAATCTATGATAATAACCATGTTTGATGCGTTAGGTTAGTAATCATATTGAACATATTCACACGGATCATTTGCTAACCGTCTGACGGAGATGTTTCTTCAAAATACCCTCCAGTTCCGTTTACGTTTCAGGGCGCAGTGTAGAGCACGGACGAATCGATTTTGTTTTAGTGCGATTCGGTTCTTCAAGTCGGTTCTTGTGAACGTTTTGTTTCAATGAGTCGCTGAACTGTTAACACGGATCGTTGCGAGTCTGATACAGGTGCATCTCAATAAATTAGAATGTCGTGGAGAAGTTAATTTATTTCAGTAATTCAACTCAAATTGTGAAACTTGTGTATTAAATAAATTCAATGCACACAGACTGAAGTAGTCTAAGTCTTTGGTTCTTTTAATTGTGATGATTTTGGTTCAAGCTGTATCGTAGCTTAATATACTTGCACCTCTGCATGTTTATTTTTATATACTTGATAATTAAATGTTTTGGAAGTATTTCATGGCTTATGCTATTTTATATCAACAATAAAACAATGGATCAACAAAGATATGGATTGTGGACTGATTTATTTATATAGATTTACTGCTTTATTTATGAATAACTACATACCAATGCAGAAAAATCATCAAAAAACATGATGAATTGGGTTAGGCTAGAATAACATTAGCAGAACGTTAGAATAAAGTTATGTTTTATATACCTCAATATATATTAAGATGTAAGGAGTACTCTTTCTTTTCTCATGTCCATAAATCATATTCAAGAATAGATTATTTCTTTATAGACTCTAAATTATTACCTGACATTTCTGCATCTAAATACCACAACTGATCTCTGATCATTCCGCTGTTACGGTATCTTTTGACTTTGGTTGAGCAAAGCCAAGTTATGATTGGAGATTTAATACTTACCCCCTTTCAGATGTGAAATTTTGCCAGCATATTTCAGATTCTTTGACAGAGTTTATTGAGATCAATGATAAAGGTGATGTTTCTGACTCTGTGTTATGGGAAACTTTTAAAGTAGTAATGAGGGGACATATCATTTCCTATGAGTCAGCAGCAAAGAAACTTAGACAAAAACGCTTAGTGGAGATAGATGCCCGTCTTACCCAACTGGGAAAATTATATAGGGATACCGCAGACTTGTGTGTCTTAAATTATATTATGTCATTTAAATATGAATACAATACGATTACTTTGGATCAGGTGAATAAGACGTTGCTAAAAATTAAATAAAGACATTTCGAGATTGGGGATAAACCAGATAAACTATTAGCTCAGCAGTTAAGGGGTCCGTATGCTAGCAGATCAATTCATCATATTGCTGATAAGGATGGTAAAATTGTGACTTTTTATTATTAAAAAATTAAAAGGACATTAATAATCGCTTTATGGAATTCTATGCAGATTTGTACAAATCCAAGACATCTGTATCTTCGGAAGCTATTGTAGTATTTCTTCATTCGCTTTCCCTTCCAAAATTAAGTGAGGCTGACCAGAAATGTTGAATGCTAACATTACTATTCAAGAGATTACTATTCAAGAGATACTGGATGCGTTTAATGCCTTCCCCAACGGGAAGGCTCCTGGCCCTGATGGCTTTTGTATCGAATTTTATAAGCAATATGCTGGTAAAATTGCACCCCTTATGTTGTGGATGTTCAATCATTCCTTTTGTAAGCAGAAATTTCCTCCTTCTCTCTACTTTGCCAATATTTCTTTACTTCTTAAGAAAGGCAAGGATGAGACTAATGTGTCCTCTTTTCATCCAATTGCTCTTCTTAATACTGATTTAAAAGTGTTCCCCAAAATTTTGGCAACTAGATTAAACCAATGCATTTTAACTATTATTCACCCCGACCAGGTCGGCTTTGTCCCTAATAGATTCTCCTTTTTCAATGTCAGACGTTTTCTAAATATAATCTATTCCAAACAAAAATCTCACTCTAAATTGGTAATTATTGCATTCGATGCAGAAAAAGCTTTTGATCAAGTGGAATGGAATTACAGGTGCATCTCAATAAATTAGAATGTCGTGGAAAAGTTCCTTTATTTCAGTAATTCAACTCAAATTGTGAAACTTGTGTATTAAATAAATTCAATGCACACAGATTGAAGTAGTTTAAGTCTTTGGTTCTTTTAATTGTGGTGATTTTGGCTCACATTTAACAAAACCCCACCAATTCACTATCTCAACAAATTAGAATATGGTGACATGCCAATCAGCTAATCAACTCAAAACACCTGCAAAGGTTTCCTGAGCCTTCAAAATGGTCTCTCAGTTTGGTTCACTAGGCTATACAATCATGGGGAAGACTGCTGATCTGACAGTTGTCCAGAAGACAATCATTGACACCCTTCACAAGGAGGGTAAGCCACAAACATTCATTGCCAAAGAAGCTGGCTGTTCACAGAGTGCTGTATCCAAGCATGTTAACAGAAAGTTGAGTGGAAGGAAAAAGTGTGGAAGAAAAAGATGCACAACCAACCGAGAGAACCGCAGCCTTATGAGGATTGTCAAGCAAAATCGATTCAAGAATTTGAGTGAACTTCACAAGGAATGGACTGAGGCTGGGGTCAAGGCATCAAGAGCCACCACACACAGATGTGTCAAGGAATTTGGCTACAGTTGTCGTATTCCTCTTGTTAAGCTACTCCTGAACCACAGACAACGTCAGAGGCGTCTTACCTGGGCTAAGGAGAAGAAGAACTGGACTGTTGCCCAGTGGTTCAAAGTCCTCTTTTCAGATGAGAGCAAGTTTTGTATTTCATTTGGAAACCAAGGTCCTAGAGTCTGGAGGAAGGGTGGAGAAGCTCATAGCCCAAGTTGCTTGAAGTCCAGTGTTAAGTTTCCACAGTCTGTGATGATTTGGGGTGCAATGTCATCTGCTGGTGTTGGTCCATTGTGTTTTTTGAAAACCAGCGTCACTGCACCCGTTTACCAAGAAGTTTTGGAGCACTTCATGCTTCCTTCTGCTGGCCAGCTTTTTGAAGATGCTGATTTCATTTTCCAGCAGGATTTGGCACCTGCCCACACTGCCAAAAGCACCAAAAGTTGGTTAAATGACCATGGTTTTGGTGTGCTTGACTGGCCAGCAAACTCACCAGACCTGAACCCCATAGAGAGTCTATGGGGTATTGTCAAGAGGAAAATGAGAAACAAGAGACCAAATAATGCAGATGAGCTGAAGGCCACTGTCAACGAAACCTGGGCTTCCATACCACCTCAGCAGTGCTACAAACTGATCACCTCCATGCCACGCCGAATTGAGGCAGTGATTAAAGCAAAAGGAGCCCCTACCAAGTATTGAGTATATGTACAGTAAATGAACATACTTTCCAGAAGGCTAACAATTCACTAAAAATGTTTTTTTTTGTTGGTCTTATGAAGTATTCTAATTTGTTGAGAATTGGTGGGTTTTTGTTAAATGTGAGCCAAAATCATCACAATTAAAAGAACCAAAGACTTAAACTACTTCAGTCTGTGTGCATTGAATTTATTTAATACACGAGTTTCACAATTTGAGTTGAATTACTGAAATAAAACTTTTCCACGACATTCTAATTTATTGAGATGCACCTGTATGTGCGAAAAAGACGGTTCGCTGTTGAATGAAACTCGAGACCGATTCAGTCTGATGTGGATGTTCAGTTTTATAAAACCCGTTCAATAGATTGATTGAAAAGATCCGACTCAAAAGAAAAATTCATTCACGAATCGAACTGTTACATTTTAGGACGCGATGCAGAGCGCTGATAAATCGATTCTCGTGGGCTCCTAGAGAACACGCTCTGATAACGTCTTTATTTATTTGCCAACATACAGCTTATTATAATTTTTCATACTTTTTCATGGAATTATATCAATATCCCTGAGACAAATAAGTTAGATTTTGTTTAGTCGTTGAATCAGATGTGAGTAAATAGTGAAGACATTTATTTTCATTTTACATACGGTAGAGGTCGCCAATGTTCAGAATATTTATGTGGCATGATCATAGACTGGGAATGATCTCTGAACAATAAAGAAGTTTGCATATTCTGACAGGTATAAACTGAATAAACAGGAATGACATTGTATATTCAACATTGTATATTGTACATTTCTTACTATGTGTAAGTAAGTTGTTGTTTTTTAGCATGTAAGTTTGGCAGTGTTATATTTTAGGATTACTGATAAACTACTGTCGTTTGATTTGTATTATTTGTATTTGTTATTTATTTTAATTTGAGATAAATTATGTCTGACTTTATTATGTCTGTTTAGGTCTTTTATTAAG